AATTGTTTAGCTACAAATCAAATAAAATGAAAGAAAAAAGAAATACAAAATTAATGATGTTTTTTCGTTAAACAAATTTCTTATCCTTATTGAAGAAGTTAATCTGATTTTACTTCTATATTTTTACATTGCTGTTTGTTGTTTTAAATTTTCCCATTGTTTTTATTTTTTTAATTTTGTTTTGTCGTTTTTTAAAAAAATTATACCTTTGTCTTTTATTTTGTTAAACAAAATTATTTTCCTTATTGAACGACGTAGACTGATATATTTGCTTTTGTTTTTTTTTACTGCTTTTTTAAATTTAATTTTATTTTCAATTTTATTTTTGTAATTTTACGTTATTTTTTCTTTTGTTCATTTTTATATTTTATATTTTTGTTTTATCTTAATTAAAAGACTCGATAACATCAGAAGAACAGGTGTGAAAAGCTAAAGTTTCATTCGATTTTACTCGAATTATCTCACATTCTCTTCCGCTGACTCAGGTTTTTATTTGTTATTTTCTCTTGTTTGCTTTCATTTTTGACGAGGCAGATATTTTTTTCACATTTCCGTATATAATCTCGGATAATTCTGAAAGAAAGAAAACATTCAACTCATGTTCTGAAAGGGCAAAACATCGATGCAACAATACACTTTAAAAACGTCCTCCTCCACTCGAAAAAATAAACTCAAACCGATCACATATGAGGGACTTGGCAGATAACGAAGTAGTGGTAGCAGCATGGCAGTGGGACGTGTACACATTTTTATAATTGACTTAATGTGAAGAACTTCAATTCTATAGAAGCCTATTAAAAACCATGTATCTAGCTGAATGATGCCAACTGAAAAAGGCATACATATGTGTGTGTGTGTGTGTGTAAAAAGATATAGAAAATAGGAAAGAACTCGTTAGTTAAATAATCCAAAGTTCTTTAGTATTTTTGTTATTATTTTAAAAAAATAGTGCTCGATACATAGATTTATGCAACCACATATATATATATATATATATATATATATATATATATATATATATATATGGTTGCATAAATCTATATACAAGTACCTCGGGTCATTTCAATGTGTGGTGTAATGGTTAGCAAGAGTGTCTCGCTAGATCATTTTACAACTGAGTAGTGAGTTCGATCCTCACTGAGTGCTCCATACATGTGCCTTGTGCCACATCTTAGCTACCCTTAGAAAATGACTATACAAATACCAAAACTTTTGAAAATCACTTTAAAACGCTACAAAACAGTGTTCCGACCCAACACATAAGCGCACACACACACACACACACACACACACACACACATATATATATATATATATATATATATATATATATATATATATATATATATATTCACACACATGTATATATTCACACACACACACACATATATATATATCAAATATATGGTGCAGTTGAATTTATATTACAATAAATAATTCAGTCAAAAAATAGATTAGTAAAAATTAATGATATAAAATGGCGGAATCTTTTCGCAAACAAAAATTATAAAGTTGCATTAACCTACGAACCTCTTTTTTGTATGAATGATTTATTATATATATATATATATATATATATATATATATATATATATATATATATATATATATATATATATATATGAAAATAAAAGGAATATTTTCTTTAACAACGCGTTTCGTTCCTGGAGGAACATTATCAATGTATATATCTTGGCCTTGATAAAGTTCCTCAGGCACGAAACAACGCGATCGTAAAGGGAGTTTTTCCTTTTGCATTTTAATAATATTATCTTTACGGATATTTTTTATTTATATCTGAATTTTTTCTATGCACACACACACGTGCATACACAAACACACATGAAAATCTTATGTATGAATATATGTAAATCTAAAGTGAAACAAGTTCCAATGACAATCCTGTTATATAAAGCGTTTTGGTCAATAGGTTATGATACGACAATAAAGAAGAGATAACGTGTCTCTGGAATGTCACACAAGTGTCACGAGCATATAGCAGCAATATGTCTATTCTAGACAAGGAACAGTGGTATATGAAAATTGCAGCCGCCCACAGAAAGAGATAGCGACTATCAATGACAGTAACAACACACCGGGCGTGTAATTTCCTTCAAATAACAACCTATTTTTGTGCTGGTATCAGTAAAACTTAAAATGCAGACGGATAAAATTTCTAGGGCATATAATGAAGAAAGAGGAGAGCCTAACATCTGGGATGCATGATGAAAAAAGAGGAGTGAGAAAGTTTAACAGAAATTTTAATATTCGCAGTGAATACTGAAGGAAATAGGACAAAAAATTAAATTTCTCAGGGAGTTTGTGTAAATAGAGTGAAATTAAGAGTGACGGTACAAATAAAATACTGCTTTTAAGTATAATAGACGAGAAGTTGTGGAGAGCCATTTTCGCCAACGTCCTGGATGGACATGGCATATAAAGAAAGAACACTGTCTCCATCAAATGAATGTATATTATGAATTACATTTCCTGTGGTTTAATCGACTACCGAGTTTCAGTGATTAATGATACAGCATTGCTTGTCTGCGCTGAGCTAGAAGGCATCACAAGTAAACCGTGGAAGAATAATGAAAGACTCGCCATGCTTTATCTTGTTTCAAGCCCACAATCGAGTGGAGGAGACTTTGTGATATTGTGAAACAACAGTATCTTTTGAGTGCTGTGCAAGCTGTCATTGGTTCTGAATTTTTAAAATCATTTCACCCCCAAGCATGGTGATAAAGTCTCTGAGATGCAAGTGAATATTGAGTATTAGAGAATATGAGAAAAATAAAACATTATTAATGAGATCGAACAATAAAAGAAGAGGAATAAAGAAGACGAAAGATAACGATTGACAGTGAATTTAAATATTTAAAGATCAAAGGTGACTGTAACGCAAGATGCAGGAAGAGAATTTCACAAGAGGATAGTGTGAGTGGATTAACGGCTAGCACTAAAAAGTGACGTAATAATCAAATGGATAAGCTTGTTCGGATATCAGATATCTTTATCAGGACACATATTATTGTAGAACTTGTCGATTTTAGTAAAAAGAGAAGACATGAAAGAAATCGACTTTACTGAAATGTCTATCTTCATTTACTGACAGAATGAATACTGATTACAACAGAATTCATTGTAGTCTTCTGTCTATTGCGTAATGTAAACCTTTCATGAAAGACCTATCTATTGTACAGAGTTATTTGCATGCATTTGTCTGCTACCAGCATTGGCTGAACTTTACTGGAAGGCAGTATAGATCAGTTTAACATTAGTAATAATATTGGTAAGTAACTGGGAGAGGAGGTTGCTAACAACGACTGCCGAGGATGGAACCGTATTTTCTAGCGGGAAATGAATGACTTTCCTTCGCACTAAGAAGCCATTTCAAACAATATCTTATGCTTGATCAATTAAGAAATAGGTTTTCAACACCTCGTAAAGAGATAGATAACTTGATAAAAAAGGCCAGAAATAGATAGATAGATATTCCAGAATAGATCTGTTTTTGACACCATCAACCTTCTGAAATCAAGCGCTTTTTTCGTAACAAATACACATTTGATATAGTTATATAATATTATAATTCACAAAACAATATAATTTATACAGCTACCATAAACTCCAGCCAATATTTTCTTTATTAAAGTCTCTCGGAAAAGAAGACAGAAGATACATTAAAAAAAAAACACACAGATTTTCACTTAAATATTTCTATCCTCTAAATATAGCGTTTAATGCAATAAGAAACGTATGTATTGACAAAAGTGCGCAGGTGTAGGCCTTAAGAAAGCTTTATTCAACTGGGTATACAAAGTTCGCGTATAGTGTCCTTTTATAGTCCCAGTAATTAGAAATAGCTCTCTTAGTTACCTGACCTTCAAAAAACTTGACTATAAAAGAGATGGTCGAACATTATTTATAAGTTTATTCAATTTGAATTGCTTCACTGTAACATTAAACGTTTGTCTGTTTCTATTTACAACGTATAATCGTAACATTCATCAGTAAAACATCCAAAATTTTGCTATCAAATTTTGATCCTTTTCTGAAAATATATTTCTTTTCTTTGCTTTAAATGAAAATCACAATAGATTAAATATACACAATATGAAAGCAGATGCGATGAATAAATATTTTGTTTCTAATTCTTCTCAACGATCTAAAAACTAAGAGGCCAATAAAACAAATTTAAGCAGATATATATTGACGCTTATGGCAAGAAATTACTGAATCCATCCATATTAACATGTAATGACACCCTGTAACGACACAAGCATAAATATAAAAGATTTTCTCCTCTAATAAAATGGATTTTTAAAACTATCCGACATGTACACGCCTTAGCTAATCATATTTAACTAAAGCTACTTCTACGAAAAGACACACTCTCTCTCTCGAAGCTACCTATAATGAAGGTGTTGCTAGTTAACAGTGTATGTGATTGATCATCTAAGCACAGTGCCACGTATCGGGAGCCTCAATTTCGCGACAGAAGACTGAGTATAATTTGGCCAAAGGCAATGCATATAGGAAAGGAAATAAATCACAGAGTGCTTTCATGGTTTCGTTTAATTACTTAAGGTAAATTGTACCTGAGTCGAACCAATGGAGAGAAAGACATCTTCAACGCTGGTGTAGTATCGAATGAAAGTAACCAAGGTAATTTCTACAGAAGGAAGACTATTATATTTTAAAATCAATACATATAGCCTCCTTTTTTTCAGATTCAATATTTGTAAAAATACATTTTGCACTCCGAACATTTCTCACTTTTAAGTATTTTGCGGCTATATACTGATTGAAGCTTAGATTTATTGGAAGCTATTCCAAAATCTCTAGATGGATATGATAGTTATTTCGTCTCGTATAACTCTAAAGAAATGTGTTAATGCTTAGAACAGGTAAGATAACAATCTTTTGGAAGCAGCTACCATAATTATTAATGAACACATTACAGAAGGAGTAACAATACGAGGTCGAAAGGTGATTAAGGAATGAGAAAAATAGAACTCTTCTTGATTATTTTTCTTCCTTCTCCATCGCTTATTTACGTAATATCATTTTTCTTACCAGGTTCTTATGTTTTCTATCTTCCCTGTTTGTTTGAATAACTACTGTTTTTTTAGTATTCTATTTTAATATATTACTGAATTTTTATTATTTCTATTTCACTGTATTATAGAATATCGAACGATTGTTTTCATTCCGAAATAATACAAGTATAATGCCTTTTTGCTTACGTAAATCTTTTCTCTGACTTACAGATATAACTTTTTGATGGCGTGTCTTTCTCTTATATTTATGTTGAAATTATTTATTTTCCCGTCTGTCTTTCTTAAATATTTGCTTTTATTCAAACTTTCATAATTTAAATGGCTTTCTGCTAACTGATCTTTTCCTTTGCCTTCTTTGTTTTTCTTTCTCTTCCCGTTCGCTTGCTTGATTGCTTTTGCTTCTTCATTTACTATTTCTTTTCCTATCTTATTTGCTTACCTTTCTGCCTTTCTTGATATATACAATTGTTTACTTGTCATGTGGTTTGCCGTTTTCTTTTTCGTATCGCATTCCTTGTATTTGTTTGTATTTTTGGTTCGTTTATATGTTTTCCTTCTAGCAGTATTTCTTATATTTCTACATATTTTTCTTCTTGCTTGCCTTATACCAGATTTCCATATTCGCCTTCTATCTTTCTTTATAGTTTGATATATTTCTGCTTGACTTATTTCTCCCCTACCTTTTCTGAATTTCTTCAGTTTTTCCTTAAATCCTGTTTCTTACTTTGCCAATTATCAATACATTTTGATCGGGTCTCTTTCAGTTTTTCTTTCTTATTTCAATTCGTTTCGCCTTTCTTCATTTATTTTCTCTTATATTTTTGTTTACTCTTTCAGTCTTTCTTTTCTTCTTTCTGCCATTCATAGGTCTCTTGATCCTTTTCTTCTTTTTTCGTTCTTTTTCTTTTTCAGTCTCTTCCTTCTGCCTTTCAATATCCTCTTCTTTCTATTTGTTATATGGCATTTCTTTCTATTTGTTATATGGCATTTCTTTCTATTTTCTTCATGATTATTACGCTGCATATCTTACACGCTAGCTCTTTTTTTTACCTTTCTACCTATCTTGCTTCTTTTATTACAGTCTTTCAGGTTCCACTTCATTCTGAAAGTCTTCTCTCTTTTCTTTCATGCCGAAATTCGTCCTGTTGTACTTCTTTCTTTCTATCATTTGGTCTTCACTTTCTGTTTCTCACGCTTTCTTTTCTTTATGCCTTTCGTCTCTTCTTTTTTTTTCTCTTATTTCTGACTTTTTTCTTTTTTGTTTAGGTTTTTCTCCATTTATTGCGTTTCTCTTCTTTTTGGAATTATTTCTCTTTGTGTTGCTACTTTTCTTTCACTATTTCTTGTTTTTTTTTTCCTACCGCGTTTCTTGATAATCTCTCTGTTCTCCTCCTCCCTCTGTTCGTTCTATCATTATCTCTTCTCATTTCTCCATCCCATTCTTAATCTTCTTTCTCTCTTCGACGTTCTGTTCTCTTTGCATATGCCGCTTCTTACCCATTCTACTTCTCTTTCCCTGACTTTTCTCTTATTCAAGCTCTTCTGTCAACATATGTTCCCGTTGTCCTATATTTATTATTTTCGAATTTCCTTCAATTTCTTCATTTCTCACCATTCTTAAAAGATAAATTGTGCATTATCAAATTTTTATATTATGGATTTTTCTGTAGGTTCTCTTTGAATATATGATATTTTGGTAAATATCGGTTTGGGTGTGATGTGTTCCTGTGGTGAATATGTCAATTGTAAGAAAGAATGTTTCGTAAATCAGATTAGCTCGGTGTAGGATAATCAGTGATGACAGCATTCTCCCACTTCCTTCACGGCCTTGTGCCACAATTGTATAATCTATACAATAAATATTCTGTCTCAACATTCTGTTAGACTTTTGTCATGTATTGTTTTATTTTAGTTATATTTTCTTAATTTTGGTTTTGTCATTTTTATTATTTTAGAAGTCGGCCAAGCATAGACACGAATATAGTATGAGAATAAATAATAGAGACTGATAGAGAAAAAACAACAGTAAAAAAAAATGATAATATGAACTCTGATAAAAAAAATAGTTGCTAAGACCTTAGGTTAATCTGTCCCATAAATTCATATACTGATGTCCCCAGGAGATAAAAGCGTTGGTTGAACTAATCCAGTGATGTGACCAAAGAGCTTTGAGTTTCAATATCTGGTCACAGCAGAGTTGAGTTGCTAAAAAAGCAAGATAACTGAAAATGAGATATTCAGAAAAGCCAGGTCACGTGGAACTAGAACAATCTATCCCAGTGGATGAAAAAAGGTTCGATTCGAAATTCCAAAGTATAATCTTAAGAAGGCCGGAACGTACAACGTCCGAAATATCATGAATATGACATTGAAGAGGAGGAAACAGTCTGAACAATGTAAATAGAGTAAATAGTTACAATACCTCTTTTATACGGTTTTCATTTTATTCACTCGGCATTCTTGCTGTTTTGGACCCCTCGGCGTGGTGCAATGGTTAGCAAGCTTGTGTTGCTAAAGCAGTTACGACTGAATAGTGAGTTCGATCCCCATTGGGTGCCCATATTTTAAAGGGCACCTCGACGTGGTGTTATACTTAGAAAGCTTGTCTTGCTAGATCAATTACGACTAAGTAATGAGCTCGATCCTCACTGGGTTCCCCATACCTTCGGCCTTGTGCCACATCTAAGCCGGGTTGGGAACGGTGCCATAGCCAGTCCAACTGTCGAACTCTATGCCTTGGGCAGAGAGGAACCCGGACGACGCTTTGCCGAAGGGGAAAGTTTCGTCCGGGTTCTAAGGGAATATTTTTGGCCGAGCCTACGGGCTCAGAGAACCCACCGTAAACACATACATCTCTCTTGGTGGTGGTTGGGAGCGCTGTTAAATATTAATATTCTTGCTGTTTTCTCATCCTTTCATAAGTTTTATTTTTCATTTAGGATTTTCATCCATTTTATTTGTCACCGAATTATCTTTGTTTCCTCGTTTCTTTATTTGTACTCTTTCTTTCTTTCTCTGTTCATTTTTTTCTCGAGTTTGCTTCTCCCTTGCACCTGTTTTTATTTTTAATGTTTCTTTTCTCGATTTTTAGTTATTTCTACGCCATTTTTTGGTTCATTTTTTTCTATATTGTCTTCCTTTATATTTTCCTTTTTTTCTGTCTTAGCTTGTCTTTGACACTTCATTTAATTTTTTCCATTGCTTCCAATTACCTTTCCTACTTTCTATTCCCTAATTTCGTTTTTCCTCATTCTCAGCTTTTCTGATTCGTTTTTTGTACGTATTTGACTTCTCACATATTTCGTGGTTCTTTCTTTCACAACTTTTCTTTTTTTTGTTCTTTTTCTCTTTATTCTTTCTTTTTATCTTGTGATTTTGTTTTCTATTTTAATCATCTTTACTTTCCCTTTCTCGCTTTCTATTCTATTTCCCATTTCTTTTATAGGCTTCCCTTTCTATTTTCCTTTTCTTTTTATCGTCAGTTTCACTAGCGGAGTTGGTATTTCAATCTAACACATAACTATCAACAACAGTACATGTTTCACTAAATTTCAAACCATAATATTTGACACATTATCACCGGAGCCTCTCTGGCGACATTCATTACAAAAACCTACATTATTTTGATGATAATCTATAATACCTTCTTACCTCCGTTTGCCTAAAACTCTTTATTATTATGATTATCCTAATATGTACGTGTGTATGTGATGTAGATATCTATCAATGGAAGACGAAATGAGGCTCGGCCATTGATAAATTCTCTTCAGTGCAGATTATAAATTTGACGAGAACGTTGAATGGGACTCAATTACAAACAGTTGCCGTAACAAGAATAGCAGACATGATTCTTTTATTAGAACCAGGTTTTATTATTCGCTTCTCCATTTCTTCTTAACGTTTCTTTTTTTTTACTTGTATCTGTCTGTCTTTTATTCATTCTCTTCGCTTTCACTTTCTCTCATTCCTTGACCACGATATTTCATTTAGTTCTTCTTCTTTCTCTATAAACTCTACTTTTCTTCTTACTTTCGATATAACCCTGCCATTTTTTTTTCCTTTTTTCCTTCTGTTGTGGGAGGTTTTTCTTAAACTTCCGTTCGCCATTTCTAAACAATTTTCTTTTATTTCATTATTTTTATTCTGGATTTGTTCATCGGCCAGGAAAATGGGCTTATCAAAAATAAAAACAACTTATACGAGACAAAAAAAATACAAGAAAGTGATCCACTTTCAAATTTCTAATCTATTCCAATATCACTCTCTATTAGGGCGTGTCTTTTCTGAACGAAATTGTCCTTTTTATGGGATATAACGAATCGCGATAGATCTCTATGATGAACCCGAGGCAGTGAAACACGCTCCAGTTACCACGAAATGAGGTTAACCGAACTATAATGACACTAGACGATCTTCTTTGAAAGACGTGGCTATTCAAAAACCCGGTTTCATGAAAATAGTTATGAGAATAAAGAAAGGGCCTGAAAAGTAAAGAAATTTGGTCTTCTTCCGCCTCATTCTTCTCCTCCTCCTTTTTTTAGGTTGGTTATTCTTTGCTTGTCACTGTTGTCTTCAATGTTACGAGAGTGTCAAAGCACTCGTTCCTCAATATGTGCCCTAGAATTTCTTTGTCTGATTCTAAAAAATTAAAATTTTCTTTGTCTGATTGTAAAAATAATCGTCGTCCTTATTACCATTTTCCTTTAAGCTTCTTCGTTATTCACATGTTCAGTTCATAGTATTCTCAGCATGTTTTTCTAGAAACACATTTCTGTCACCTTCTTTAGATTAGAATAAATATGTGATTATATTATCACTAAACGAAATCCTCATTTATGCTGGTCATTTTCTTGTAGGTTATATCACTTGATGATATTTAAATGAAATAAAAAAAATATCTCATACAAAACTGCAATTTGATATTTCAGTTTAGTGCAGGCTGAAATCACAAGCATAACTTACCCAATGAAAACCGAAATAATAAGAGAGATTTCATGATTTGAAAGAAAAGATTTTGCTAGTTTACCTACAGTGGAGCCTATTTTTGAAACATTATATTATAGTAAGTGCCTTTATGTACTACCGTTTGAATTTTCTTGGTTGAGAAGTTATCAGTATTTACACGATTTACATGCGTGACTATGGTCACAAATTTGTTGATGTTATCAAAGCGTTTTGACCGTTGTGTCCTCGGACCTTTATCATGTGTATGAAGATCCGGGCAACCTACGGGGAATTCTGAACTGAAAACTTTATTTAATCTATTGGGGTAGATTATTTCGTTTCGCTGTCCATGTCTAAAGATATCTTGCATGGTTCTTATTTTTAATACTGCTCATTCCTTACTCGCCCTGTTTCCACCGAGTTTAATTACACACAGTTACTATGTTACTTTTTTGTATATATATATATATATATATATATGTGTGTGTGTGTGTGTGTGTGTGTGTGTGTGTGTGTGTGTGTGTGTGTGCGTGCGTGCGTGCTTATTAAGTCTATTTATTTTAGATTTAATCCTCTCGGCAAATTATTTCTTGGTGGTTGTAGAAAAATGATTTAGAAACATTTTCTTTCAAATAATTTTTATTTTTCCAAGTACTTACAATCTCATTTGAAACCATCCTCAGAGGCTTAAAATACCCGTGAATGTGTATAGAGTAACTCCGTAAATTAAACATATTTTTAGAGTTCATTAACAGCGTTCCATATTCGAATATAAAAGGGGCTTAACTTTTGTAATGAAATAGATTTTCATTTTTTAGTTATAATATCTTATCAATATCTATAATTCAGATGTGTGTGTGTGTGTGTGTGTGTCTTTGAATCATGGGGCTACAACCTCACAAAACTGGGTTTATTGCCGCGGTTTCTTTCGCAAATGATTTTAACAAGTGAATTGCGAGCTCCACTCTCCCAGATGGCTTTGAATTCAGAGTTAACCTTCTCCTAGATTGGTTGACAAACGAGGCTGGAGGATCTAAGTTTTTCTAACCATTCCGCTACAAGAACACCCTAGGCACGATGAAACTGTCCTAATAATATGTATTATGTGTTTAATTACCGTGTTGGTTGAGTAATGGTTATTGACACGGTAAGTGGATTTGGCTTGCCGAATTCAAATTCCAACAGAATATATTTAATTATGCCCTTGGAAATACCATTAATCTATTTTGTTCCAGTTATTGGTCAAGCAGAAGGACATTCTGGAATGTCTTGCCTTTGATTGTCAGCCAGTCTTGGAGAAGGAATATTTTAAACTGAAACCTGCCAGACATACGTAACGATTTGATCTTGATAAGATTATCAGTCTACTTGAATGAAATTTTGAATTCACGCAGAGCATCAAGAAGGATGAGTTTTGGGTGGGTGTCTTGTCTTCGACACGCACTCTGAGATTATGTCTTTCGTATTTGAATTGCCTCAGTGACTATAGGAAGGACTAAGGAATTTATGATTGGGAATATATCTATTTTTCTTTTGTTCCTTATATTATAACATTGAATATTGAAAATGGTTATATTTTTAAATTATTTGGCCGAAAATTCTTTATGTACATAAACAGTTAAGCATTACACTATTTACATTATTCGGACTATTGTGCTCATCTTTGTCACCATGTTTATCACAACATTTCTTCAGGTGGTTGGAATGTCGAACTGAACCCTTTATTTGGCTCACTGGGGTAGACTGTTCTAGTTCCACGAGCCATGTCTAAAGGATGTCAGTTATCTCCTGGTAATTCCCTTCTCAAAGTTCTCCACCGCCTTAACCAGGTATTGAACTCACACTCTTTGGGTCCTATCACTGGATGTATCTAACGCATTTATCCACTGTGCGATGTGTCCTTGAGGACATCTGTGTATGAATTTTTGGGTATCAGCAACCATTTTTTTACCAGTCTTCTTATTGCATTTTTGTTGTTGTTATCGTTTTTCTATGGCACACCTTATTACTGGTTCCCATACACTGGTGGACGAAATAAAGGGTTCGGTCCGAAATTCCTGAAGAAGGCCGAAGCGTTCTAAATATGACAACGGTGATGAGGATAACAGTTCGAGTAATGTAAATACTATAAATAATCAACAGAGAAAGGGCACAGGGTGGTAACTATTCTGCAGTGGGAAAGTCACTGAAGCGGCGACGCCAGATCAGGACGAAATAGATGTTGAATTTACATTCACTTGATATCCTGCCTATTTTACACAGATGCCCCCCCCCCCAATGTTTCATATGAGACCATTTCAAGAAAACAACCGATATATGCCTATTACTTTAATGGGGTAGAATACCGTTTTCAAGTGTTTGCCACAGGTTCTTACATAAATATTTTGTTTTCCCCATCGGCTACAAGTGAAAACAACGGACTTCCTCTCCGCACCTGGGCTTTAACAAGAGTAGTGCTTAAAGAGTGATAAGATATACCCTTCAGTCACTGTCCATCTGGTTAACTTTCACGTAGGATATCACTCAAATATGCCGGTGGTTTTCCATCACTTATTCATTGTGCAACTCTTTTATAATTTGTCAAACTTCAGGTTTCAAAGCTTCAAATTAATTTCTCTGTTTTCCAAACTTTTAAACTTCAAAGAAAGTGCTCCATTCAGTTCTTTATATTAAATCACATTATATAGTATTTTACCAAAGTACTTTTATCTACCGTATCGCCTCAGGATGCGGGTAATCATAGCTATCTGAAACTTCCGGTCTTTTGCAGCTCATCGTAATGTTTTCCTTCTAATCGACCGTTCTCCTAACCATTTACACAATCCACTTAGGTAGCTGCACTCCGCTGTCCATTCCACAGTTAATATATTCGGTGACTGTCAAATTTTATAAACTCTGCTGCCTTATTATGTCTCTGATTTTAAATAAAGATTAAAGAGCATTACCGACAACATTAATTACAATTATATAAACTAGCAGTATATCTTTTATAATCAACTTTTGTTTCAAACGAAAAGGATATCATTGGCAATACGTAAGCTAAAGAAAAGTAATTAATAATGCAGATTTATCTGAAACATTTCATCCCTGCTACACATATGTCTATCGGTGAAGGTAGAGTATCTGTAAAGGTCTGACGTCTTCATAAAGGTAAATATAATTAAAAAGAGAAAAGGAAAATAATAATAATTATTAAATAACTAAAATTATATAATGGCCTTCTAGACATGTTCGCTAAGCATTAACCACCGACACATCTATACTGTTCTCAGATTAACACCAAAGCACTCTGAAATGTTCATATTGGAGCTTCCGGTGCGAATGACAAGCAGTACATTGGCGTGAATTGTGTCATGTTGCTCTTTTTCTCACAAACGGTGCCCAACTGAGCTTATTATATTGTGCAGTCGACAAAATCAAAAACAAAAAAAGCGCTTGCGCGAAATTAAAAAAAATATAAAAAGGCAAACATTTTCCCATCCCATCCTGTATGTGCGTCGTGTAAAAGTTAACTTCTTCCAAAGTAAAAGTTTATTAGCTTTTTCCTAGCATTTTGAAATGCTCATACATGTAATTACACATACACACACATACATGTGTGTATACATAAATATATATATATATATATATATATATATATATATATGAATATATACGTATATATATATATAAATATATATATATTTCTGTTATAATTTTAAATAAATAATTATATTTATATATATATATATATATATATATATATATATATATATATATATATATATATATTATTTCAATAATATGATTCCTTCGCTATATATAAGATTTTCAAAAACGAGAGCCGAAACCATCAATATAATATTGATGGGTTCGGCTTTCGTTTTTGAAACATGAGAACTATTATGTAGCAAAGGAATCATATTATCATTTTAGGAATGATGTCTATCTATCTATCTATATATATATATATATATATATATATATATATATATATATATATATATATATATATATACAATATATATGCACCTGAAAAATGTATTTCGTTTGAGCTCTCTGGGGGGAAGGAAATGTGAGTTTTAAACAGTGACTATTACGGCTGATAATGCTAGACTCTTCGGTATAGCGATTCGAGTCCTCTCGGTCACTGTGTGT